CCCCAAAACCCCAAAACCCCAAAACCCCAAAACCCCAAAACCCCAAAACCCCAAAACCCCGATCTTTGTGGGATATATTGAAAGTTTTAGACTCGTTTAATGCATATTTTGAGGATTCAAAAACCAAGGGAAAGCCCAGCACCAAAATAGAGCTTTCTTATGGCCAAGAAATAATGTATAAGACTGATATGACCAGTTACCAAAATATTGAAGAAATCGTGCATAGTTTCCTGACCTTATTCGAAATGGCTGGTACCATTAAGGATTATCGCATCATGGCCAAGGAGCTTAACCTAGACCAAAGAAGAGCAGAGAAGAAAGGCTTACCTCTCAAGAAGGAAATGCAGATAAGTGACCTATCATTCCTAAAAATGTTGATCAAATGTAACCAGGATGAATGTCTCAAACTGAGCCTAGAACCTCTTGATCATCTCTCTAGTGTATATCTTCCATTTACACCTCTCAGGGCTCCAAAGTTCACACGAGATAGTGCTCTGACAAAAGAAGAGATTGCTCAATTGAAACAGATTTCACAGGTGAATACCAGGACGGTTCCAAAGCCGAGTTCTATCTCAAAGCCTCTGAGAGCTCCTGTGGCACCTTCTAAGAAGAAGGCAGATGTCACTATGGAGGATACAGAGGGTCAGCCACAGTCTAGTGAGTTACTGAATTCATTCAATAATATTCTATCTTAACACCTTCTGGTCCAGTTTTGGATTCTTAATTTTGCTTTTAAGTTCTAATAAAATCTTAAAGATAAAATTTTGTACTTCTGCTAGGAAAGAATGTCTCTGATGGAGTCTTTGGTAACTTTAAAATACTCCTGTCTTATATACATTTATAAAGAAATTAGCCAATGGCTAGAGAGAGTTAGAGAATTGGGAGATTTCTTTGCTAGTTTATATTTATAGTAAGACCTTCTTCAGAGCTTATGCTAAAATAAAGTATCAGAGTTTTTTATTTATGTATAACTATAAAAAATACGAAGCTGAGAGCTCGTATCTTCCCATTTTTAGGAAATTAAATTTAGCCTTGCTTATGGTTGTCTGCTGGAATCACATTTGGGTTTCTTCAGAGCTCTAGAAAAGATTATCACTTGAGATATAATGCAAGCTATTTATAATTATTACTAATTGATTCAACTTTTTCTTTTTAAACTGCTCTCATTCATATGGTGAACACACCTAAGGAGCTGTAGTAGCTACTCCAATCGATATTGGCTGTAAAGCCAGGGCAATGCTCACCTTGGATGTTTCGTTAGAATTTCATATAAATTTGAGTAATTCCATAACAAATTATTCTGCATAATCCTCAGTATATGTTGCAAACATTCCTCATTGATTTCTGAAACTTTTAAGGAATGGAAATTTTAGAATTTAGGACGGTCTCAATGCTTATTTTGGGGCATTTGTAGTACAAAGTTTTGGACTAAATATATGAAACGTCATAACACTGCACATGAAAAACCAGCAAAGGAAATTTGTTGGTAGAAGTCATTTCTATGGAAATGAGATCTTTCCTAGCAGAAAGGAATTTATTTACCCCTTGCCAGTTTCGTACTTTGGACGAAGCTTTTACGGATGAGTTTTTAATAAAAATGCCAACTCAGCTGACCAAAAGGTGACAGAATTGTTAGAACAGATAAGTAAATTCAGCCAATTATGCTAAAATGTTTATGCACGCATAAATAGCCTAGAGATGATGCAATTTGTTGTCCTTTTGAATGCCAATTGCAGGAAGATTTATAACAGAGCTTCTAATGGCTAAATTTTTATAATAACATTAATACTTCGTCTAGTTGGTATCCCCTTGAAATTGGGTGAAACCACTACTAGATCCCTGAAAACCTTTGACATGTCTCTTAGAAATCACTTCCAAGATCGATGTGAAGAGGAAGAAATGAATTGTATAATATTGTTATTAGGAAACATTAAGTAAGAGATAAGCGTGGCCTACTGATAGGGTTACATAGGCCACCTCTACCTGGCATTACTTAGAAAGATCCAGGTAGACTGGAAGTAGGGCGAGAGTTTACTCTAGCCATGGGTCTGAAGATCGACACTGATGGCTTAGTATAAGTGATCCTGTTCAAGCCTTGCCTCTTTGAATCCAAGGAGGCTGAGAAATCCATTTTCGTAACTTCCAAGTTGTTCTCTTTATGACCTACCACCTGAGGAGCAGGTGCTGAACATCTTGGAAAGCAAAATTGAGAATCTTTGACAATAGGATTTGAAGGTCTTGTGAAAGCAACTGATCTACTGGGTGGAGAAGATCTCGGTGAGTCATCCCCGAAAAGTTCTGAAAGTTCATCAAGAGCTTCAACTTGAGACTCAAAATAATCTTCTTCGCTATCAGCTTCTGTTGAGCCTGGAAAAGATTGAGCACATTCTTCTTTATGATGAAGTTGAACTTTAGTCGAACCACTCTTCCTATATAATGGTTCAGGATTGGATGGCATCCATTCGTTGTCTTGGGCTACATCAAAGAGCTCTGCTAATTCGTTGGAACAATCCATTTCTTCCATTCTTGAGACATAGAGGGAATTGGAAGGCTGTCTCCTGCACTCGAAGGAGGAGGAAGCCAAAAATCTATCACTGCTGTTATTGTAACTCATCTTTGGAATATGCGAATTAAAATAGGTTCCCTTTTGGAAATTATTATTATTTCTATTATTTGTTCCTTAAGAGGGGTTTTGGGGTTTTGGGGTTTTGGGGTTTTGGGGTTTTGGGG